ATATATCTCACTAGGCGAAGCACAAGCCGATTTCCCCATCAGGTCTGCTGATTGACAGCTGGCAGTGGGCTGGTGCCATAGCCAGTTTGCTATTGGTTTTGGCCCCCGCCTACTGCCTGCTATTATCAATCAGCAGCAGAGCAGACCTGATGGGGAACTTTGCTGTCAAAAATCTCCATCGAGCTTTGCCCACCCTTAGTACAAGTCTTTTACCACTGCACCTACCTCTGTGACAGGTGCAGTGGCTCTGTGGGAGCATAGAAATGCAGAGCCTGTGATTTTATCAGGCTTAGTGTTGCTTAACTGCACTGAAGAGTGAGTGTTCAACAGGTACATGAATCTGGTGCAGTCGGCGACATTTGTTGTGAGGTTGCCCGACAGAATTCTTAAGACCGTCGTAGACACACTATGAATTACAGCCAATGTCTTTACTCAACTGAAATTTCAAGTAATTGTATCATCGCTGCCCAGTTTTGCAAAGAATGCTTCTACCTCTCCTTATCTCCACAACATGGAGGGAATTGTTTTGTCAAATATTAAAAGTGGGTGAGCTGATTAGACTTATTGAAAAACAACAGGCAGAGTACATAGGACAGCTTTTGAGTTTTTAACCAGGTAGTTTTTTTGTTTTTAACATTTATCGAACAAGTATAATAACACACTGTAAATGGTATATTTAACAGGCCAAAAGGGATCGAGTGAGAAAATGTAATTGCTAGGGTCGCATATACTTGAAGCAGTTGCCAAAAGTCATTGTGTTGGTTAATCTACTTTACATCTAGTGTCTAAAATACAAATCTCTACAGCTCATGAAATAAGAAAACTATAGCAATAAGAGAGAGTATTTAGCGATGTCATGTCAAAAATTACCTTAAATCCAACCTCTAGCCAAAACAATTCTTTTTTTTAAGTGTTGTACTGTGTGTGTGTTTGAGGTCTGACCGAAACCAAAAAGAGAACATTTGTCAAACCGAAAAGTTTTTCTAACTTTTTATTTTATTTTTATTTATTTATTTGACTTTACTGTTGGGTGCTCTGGGGAATTATAAGGGGTCTAAACACTTGACATTTCCCTTTTTGAGATACAAAAAGAGATTGAGGACACGGAGTCCTCAATCTCTTTTTTTGCAGCCCCTGTTATGAATGAACAAGAAGCTTCGCTACTGAGTATTGTCCATTCATAAACTGTGGATGTAGTATGAGTTACTATGTCCTCATTTATAAATGAACAGGAAGTGATGTAGAGCACTTACTATTCATTCATAATTGGGGACACAGTA